AATTGCCAACAAACATAGGGAAGAGGAAATACACTTACCGAAAGATGAAGAGAAAAAGATAAACATCAGATGCAAATTTAGTCGATATATGCACGATAGAGGATTGTGTTGGAGTTCTCAATAAGACGTGCTGCAAAAAATTGTAATGTTACTCGAAGATGACTGCGGATGAGGTATACAAGGCTAGAATGAAATATATATCACTGAATTAAAAGACAAAGAGAAATGATGGATTAAACAATTCGATAGTTTTACATGTATTGAAGATGACAAGAAGGTAGTCAAGCCCGTCGTAGAGAAACATAGGGTTTGTGCATGATACTACATCATCGACTTTTCGAGAAACACGTACGCATTCTATCGTGAGAAATATACAACGGGTATAGTAGTGCTCATTCACGTAAGGCAATGTCACTCTACGTCGTCCGCCATCCATGCGATAACTTTTCAGACCTTCAAAACATTGATACTGGAAGAGGTTGATGCAATGCCTGACCAAACGGACATGTATAAAGACTACGAGGTCAGACCGAGAGTCAAACTACCTTCCACGTACACAACGAAGATAGATGTGTATGCAAACATATAACGACGACTGAAGAAACAAGGCATAAACTATTGTTCTTATTAGGTTTTTAGAAAGATATAGCATGATTTATTTTGGCATGTTCACCTTATTCGATCGACCGATCATGCTAGATGCGATTACTGCATAAAATAGACAACCCTTATCGAAAGAGTAATGTCAGAGGCTAGACGTGATCTCGTCGGGAACTCAATCGTTATAAAATGTTGCAGAAGACGCATCGTGAACACTATGATATGTGGTCGACAGTATCAAAGTTTATCTTCGATAAACGATTGTGTATATTAATTGACGGAATGAACCAAGCAAAACAATCATTCCTCACACCGCTCGCAACCGCACATCCAGAGTCATAAACAACCGCACCATGATAAAAACTAACCTCACCAGCATTCTTATGCACGGAAGGAATCCACACATTATTGTGTACATATGGTTTCTGGTATATCATCACGGTGCGGATTCAATCGTGTCATCTGTGGCGAGGGTCTTGAGAGACGTCCAAAAACAATCAGGAGGGTTGCCTCCAGTCTTTAGATTGCAAGCAGACAATTATTGCAGTCGAAACAAAAACATATATGTGTTTGCATTCCTCATATTATTGGTTGAGTTCCGCATTTTTGAAGTGGTATAAATGAAATTTATGATATTGGGTCACACGCACACAGACATAGATGTGAAAGTCAGTTTGTTCGCTAAAAAACGAGCTGATACAAATGCTTACACCATGCCTGAATTGTTAGCCACACTTCAAAATTCGACAAAGGAAGACGTAAGTTGCACATTCATTAATTAGATGGCAAATTGGAAAAGTGCTATGAAAGAATATCTGGACAAGACTATCGGTGATTATTTGAAGACACAATTATTTAAATTTTATATGAATGGGGAGAACTCTGCTACAGTGTACAAATAATATTGCAATGTCAGTGAATGAATGTCAGTAGGTGAACCCATATATTGGTTCAAGAGGGATGAGCTAAGGGGATGCAAGACCGTCGATGTCATTTCAGCCGTGTAACTGAAAGGTGAACTTGGACAACGTAGACTTCATTAAAGAGCACGGATGTGTGAACGATTTGGTAGAGGACTAAAAGAACGAGCAGTCACAACTTCAGATACATGAAGAATAAAAACGTCATCTCAAAGCAAGTCGGCTTGAGTATTGGCAAACACATTTACAGTTGTTCAAAAATATGAGAAAATAAAATACTTCAGAACCCTTTGTCCATTAATTTTCGGTTGTCACCCATACAAAAAATCGTCAAAGATGAAAAAAAGTCAATGATGATATTAAATTCACCAACGACGAAACAATGCTTCGTGAGTTTGAAGAGGGATGCCCCCAAATCCGAATTCGACCCTACAAAGCATATCGAAGTAGGATTTTTTATTGTGCATTGTAGGGCCCTATCCTGTCAGACTTTTGAGCCTTAGTCAACCCGTTGCGGGTCTCAGTTGGCTCTGCTCCGCCCGATTTCATGCTCAGGGCACGGGGCGTTCGTCACAGGGGCACCCCCACCTAGTGTTTGCGATGGATGAGGATGGGTCATTTTGCGAGAGAGCTTCGACATTGGGGATATAGCTCCGCCCTCTCGCCGGATGGTAGACTCGTCAATCTTTTCGTCAAGCGCTGTTTTTTTTTTTAATGCTTTGAAGTGTTGTCACACAATAGTTCCTTCTAATACACAAACACTGTCAAACAGTCCAGGGAGTTTATTGATTTTTTTTTTTTTTTAATGCATAGGTCAAGCGTTATCCTTGGGCCACGCATCCATTCACTAAGCGGAGAGTCCCAATAGCCTCGTCGAGGCCGCGACTACCCTTCGGTTTGGGCCCGCGGACCATGTCTCTCGGTCTCGCAACGCCTTCCTAAGGTTGCGCCGACTTCTGTCCTCAACCAACCTATATGTGACTTTTGTTATCGCATACATCATGCATGTCCTTCCTTCGTTCAACTTTGCATTTTTTTATACGCCCTTAGTCTTTTCGGGGCCCCATCCCGCATGCATGCCCAAATTTTTCATTTTAGCCTAGGCGACCTCCTCGGTCGCCTTAGGTCTTCATCATTTACTATAGCCGACTTTGTCTTACACAAACATGCTCAAGCAATTATTTAAGGGCAAAGGTTAAGTCTACAACCCGTTCATCCTCATCCCCACTTTCTCTTTGCCGCCCGACATTCCCGGGGTACACTTCCGCTCAATGTCTCTTTAATCTACTTACCTGCACATTCAACACAATTTATGCAAGGCATCCCCCACATGGGGTGAACATATAATTCCTCACACAAGCCTTAGTTCGTTTTCCTTTACCCTTTGTGCTTCCTTTTTCTTTTCTCAATCCAAGCCAATCTTTCCCCTTAGTCATGAAGTCGGAGTGATGGTTGAGTCAATCTTACATTGACAAAAGTACCAACTTTTTTCAGTTCCTCTTTCGGACTTGCCTTCTTTTAATTACTCAAGCGTCTTCTCCCTTTCCTTCTTGGCGGTACAAGGGACCGACAACCCTTCCCTTGCCCACTTTCTCCACCAAGTAAGCGCAAATTTCTTTCACCGTTCGTTCGTTGACAATGTAATAGGTGAGTGGGGAAAGGTTAGTCATATGCCAAGAGGGGTGAGAGGAACAGGGTAAAGTCGAGACGTTTAGTGTGAGAGAGATGACGAAGGGGAGAGGAAGGCGGCGGAAGGAGAAGAAAGACATGAGAGAGGAGGACTAGTAGGGAAGGAGAGAGAGAGAGAGAGAGAGAGAGAGA